TCAAAGACCACAAAGGCCGATCTCAGAAATCGAAGAGGCTTGCTTTCTCAAAAGCTGGGCTGATCAGAGACCACGAGGGCCGATTTCATAAATCGAAGAGGCACCTACTTTTCCAGCCTTGTCAGCACCTGTCACACGCACACTCAGCTTTGCGGAAATTATGGGCATTCTGTCGAAGATTTTTGGCGAAGTAGAAAGCACATGAATCGTACTGTTCAATCACCCACTTCCCACACGCAACAGTAGCTCATGGGTACCACAGATAACTTTGCCAAAGTTCTCTGACAAAGTTGAGACACGTGAAGCTTGCAGCTCCCACTACATCGCTCTGACCAAGAAGGGTAAAAGAATTGCAAAGAAACAACACTAACAAAGTTTAGACACATAAATTTTGAAGGTCTAGCTACCATATTATTACCCACAAGGGTAAAGGAACAGTACCACTGCTGGATAATTGGAAAGTCCCGGTGTGTCAACCTCTGTGCTTCGTGGCAAGGTAGACTAGCAAACATGCCCAACCTTTACTCACATTCGAGAAAACACTCCTAACAAAATTGCTTGCTCCAAAATCGAAGAGGCACCGCCTTCCGAATCTCGAGAGCCAGACTCCCAACATGATTACTTTCTCAAAAATCGAAGAGAGGGTAAAGGAACAGTACCACTGCTGGATAATTGGAAAGTCCCGGTGTGTCAACCTTTGTGCTTCGTGGCAAGGTAGACTAGCAAACATGCCCAACCTTTACTCACATTCGAGAAAACACTCCCAACAAGATTGCGTGCTCCAAAATCGAAGAGGCACCGCCCTCCGAATCTCGAGAGCCAGACTCCCAACATGATTACTTTCTCAAAATCGAAGAGAGGGTAAAGGAACAGTACCACTGCTGGATAATTGGAAAGTCCCTGTGTGTCAACCTCTGTGCTTCGTGGCAAGGTAGACTAGCAAACATGCCCAATCTTTACTCACATTCGAGAAAACACTCCCAACAAGATTGCTTGCTCCAAAATCGAAGAGGCACGGCCCTCCGAATCTCGAGAGCCAGACTCCCAACATGATTACTTTCTCAAAAATCGAAGAGACACCGCTCTCCGAATCTCGAGAGCCAGACCCCCAGCAGGATTGCTTTCTCAAAATCGAAGAGGCATCGTTCTCCGAATCTCGAGAGCCAGACCCCCGACAGGTCTGTAATCTTCACACGCAACAGCAGCTTTCCAGATACCACAAACCACTTTTTCAAAGTGCTCTGACAGAGTTAAAACATGTGAAGCTGGCAGCTCCCACTACCGTGCTATAACCAAGCAGGGTAAAGGAATAGCATTATTACTTGATGTTAGGGAGACTCCTATATATGTCGACTTCCATCCCTAACAGACAGGCAGACCTGCAAAAATGCTCAACCCTTTCTCTTATCTGAGAGGGCACTCCCAACAAAGCCTTTCGAAATATTCAGCTTTCTTTCCCCCCGATAATACCTCTGTAAACAAGCTATACTAGAGCAAGAATATCTCATATCATCAGGGTTAAAAGCAAGAGTATCCCATATCATGCTTTTTCCCTGTCTTTTCCTTTGGCCTTGTTCTTACCTGCAAGACAAGGAGAAAGAGAGCAATCAGTCAGCACTTGGAATCAAGCTTCCAGCCAGGAACTGACTGCCTGGAACCCCTTACCTGATTACTTACCTGGCATTGCTCTCGAGTACTCATCTTCAACATCTTATGCTTCCAGGGAAGATACCGCATCTGCCTGAGGAACAGATAGGGCAAGTGAGAAGGATACAAGGAAGCATGTGGAGACAAGCGTAACAGCACACGTGCCGATACATCCACTACTCTATCAAAAGAAAAAGTATCCCATATCAGCAGGGTCGAACGTACTCTAGATTTGATGGACTTGTTTTGACCCTCAAATTCTTCAGTCGGCCTTATACTCTGGAGGAAACCAGAAAACCCTCCAGCCCAGTTCAAGAATAAGCCTGTGGAAAGTTACTTCTTCAAAAGCAAAAGTATCCCATATCATCTCTCCTCATTTTTCTTCTCTTTATCCTTCATGCTGCCTGCAAGATAGGGAGAATGTGAACAATCAGCCGGAGCTCTGATTGCTTACCTTGTCTGTCACCTCTTTCAGCAGATCCCCCAGCTCGGCGACTTGGGGGACTCCTACTACATGGTTTGTATCTCGCTTGACCAAGCATGAAACTACAAGTAAGCTTCAAGTGAAATTGATACATTACCTTGTGCATCTCCACCAGTTACAGATACCACCCCTGGATGGAGGAAGAGTACTTCCAGAGAAGATGTCACATCTACCTATGAGACAGATAAAGGCAAGTCAAGACGATACCACACTCCGGTACTTAGAAGTTTCGTGGCTACGAGATCATTCTCCCACAATATTTCCTAATGTCATTTGTACTAAATCATTCACTTGTACTCACTAAAGGAGAGCTTGAATCTATGTACTTGTGTAAACCCTTCACAATTAATGAGAACTCCTCTATTCCGTGGACGTAGCCAATCTGGGTGAACCACGTATATCTTGTGTTTGCTTTCCTATCTATATCCATTTATATACTTATCCACACTAATGACCGGAGCAATCTAGCGAAGATCACAAAAAGTGACCGTTTTCGCTACCTAGGATCTATCTTGCAAGAGAACGGAGAATTAGATGGAGATCTCAACCATAGAATACAAGCTGGATGGATGAAGTGTAAGAGTGCATCCGGCGTGTTGTGTGACCGTCGTAGGCCACTAAAGCTCAAGGGAAAATTTTATAGGACGGCAATAAGGCCAGCGATGTTGTATGGCACAGAATGTTGGGCGGTGAAGCATCAACGTACACAAAATGGGTGTAGCGGAGATGAGGATGCTTCGTGGGATGTATGGGCACACGAGAAAGGATAAGATTGGGAATTAGGTTATCCGAGGTAAAGTAGGAGTAGCCAAAATTGAAGGAAATATGAGAGAAAATCGGTTCCGGTGGTTTGGACATGTGCAAAGAAGGCCTACTGACGCTCCGGTTCGAAAATGTGACTACGGGACAGAGGTTCGGGGCCGAAGGAGTAGAGGAAGACCTAGGAAAACTTTGGAAGAGACCCTAAGAAAAGACTTGAGTACTTGGATCTAACAGAGGACATGACACAAATGAGCGCAATGGCGTTCTATGATTCATATAGCCGACCCCACTTAATGGGAAAAGGCTTTGTTGTTGTTGTTGTTGTTGTTTTATTTTTTTTGTATTTATTTTGAAGTGTTAGTCTGCTTTTATAGGAAGCTTGCTAGTTGGTAGAACTCCTGAGGACTTAGACGTGTTGAAAAGGAGGGTTAAGCAGGTATGTGAAGCCGGGTTAAGAGCGGAGTACTTGTCTTCCAGTGACTTGCATGTAAAGGAACCTGAACTCTTGGCTGATAAAGACACTGGAGCTGCCTTTCTACCTGATGATTGCCAGTTGGATGCACGCCGTGGTGTTGAATATCTTGAACAGGTTTTTCATTTATTCTGCCCTGAATTTTACTCATTTCTGGCACGTGAATGATATTGTGTATTCACATGTCGCATAGTGAACAAATTTAGTGATCCTCTTGTTATTGGTGTAATTAATGATCCGCCACTTACGCAGGGTAACAGGAATTATGCATCGAAGGGTAGATATGCTGAGTTTTATAATCATCCGGTGATTAGTTTATTAAGGTTTGCTGTCATGTTTTATTCGGTGCTCTGGAGATACACTGAGAAACCAACGGACAAGAATGGAGAATTTGGTTTTCAGTAGTTCAGTTACATTGTTAAGCTAATACTCATACATTTCTTATGTGCTCAGATCTGGTGGCAATGGGGATGTTGTGGCTATTAAGACTTCTAGGAATACATTGCACTGCAAGAAGGCTATCGTAGTCGCAGCTGGTTGTTGGAGTGGGTCTTTGATGCGTGACCTGCTGAAAGAATCAGAAATTGTGCTGGATGTCCCCGTGAAACCACGAAAGGTTTAAATTAGGATTTGAACAGACTTCTCTTGTGTATATTAAACCGACTTAGTTGGATTTCCAGATGCATAAATGTAATTTAATAATGTTAACTTATAACTGAAGTTTGTACGTGTTTTATGCCATTCAACCTTCTGAACGAGTTGCTCTAATTTCTCCAACTTTTATTTTAAGAATGACCTAAGATTTTTGTTCTGCATGACAGGGTCACCTTTTAGTGCTTGAGAATTTTAATTCCTTTCATCTCAATCATGGGCTGATGGAGGTGGGATACGTTGATCATCAAACTGCAAATCCGCTTCCAAGCATATCGACTTCTGAATTGCTTAATCAAGATGAACAATCCTTGTCTGTGTCAATGACAGCCACTATGGATACAATGGGGAACATTATTCTTGGTAAAATTTTACTTTGATTATTTGTTTCGTTTCTTGACAAGACATGGAATTTTGTAAAGAATAACTCAAGCTCATGTTTTACAAATCCAAGAGAGTCTTACCTCCAGTTATTATGACTTTCTAGGAAGCAGCCGCCAATTTGCTGGGTTCTGCACCGAGTTGGAAGAATCCATTATTAGCCGTATATGGGAGCGAGCTGGGGAGTTCTTTCCCAAATTAAAAGAAAAGCTCTTTTCAGATATCAGTAAGGGTAGAGAAGTGCGAGTAGGATTACGACCTTACAGTAAGTCCTGAAATCTTTTAGAACCTAATTAATGTGATCCTCTGGATCATTGGATTCTAAGATTTATGCTAGTACTAAAAACTTTTGTCATTTCCGGTGAATTGAAGAATGACATAACCTTGTATCTCAGTGCCAGATGGGAAGCCAGTGATTGGGCCTATGCCCGGTTTGGCAAACGTGTTCCTTGCAACTGGGCATGAAGGGGGAGGACTTTCCTTGGTAATTTTTTGTACTGATTATTTGTTAAAAGTTATGTCAAGTGAAGGAAGAATCATCCATCATTTCGTTCCAATTTCAGGCTCTAGGGACTGCCGAAATGCTCACGGATATGGTGCTAGGAAATTCTGAGAAGGTTAACTCTGCACCGTTCACTGTTCATGGTCGATGTTGATGATAAAACCACCAATGTATTCAACATTAAGACAGTGATTTTCATGATCATTTCATGGGCTATATGAATCATAAATTCATAACGTAGCTTGGGCACTCAGGATAGCCTAAGTTCTAAGGTCATGTCTGGGAGAACCTTTCTGCTCATCTTTATGTATTCCATATCTTATCTTTCATCTTCTATGATTGTTTTGTGCTATTTAGCCAGGTGTTCTATAGAGAAGTGTTGTGTACATATTTCCATGTTTTCATATAAATTAAAATACATTATGGTGCGGCTCCTGGGCTCGAAAAGTCGCATATCTTTCATACTGCCTAAAACATGTCAAATTGATATACTGTTTGGAATCCCCTTCCCCGTGATGCCCCCTCTGGATTCAACATTGGGTGTATCAGGGTACAGAAGCATGTAAGGAATCTTGGCATGCCCCCGTCTGTTGGTAAGCCTGGGATCGGTGTTCTTGCACTCAATTCTTTCCTCTAACATTCGAAGTTTTCTTTTGAACTTTTCAAACTTATCGCTAACCTGTTCATTATGTATCCACATTGTTGATGGCCTCTGACCCAAGTACACTTCATCCGACGTGTGTTGTGAGAGCACCTCTGCAAGTGCTATACCCAAGATCATCTCACCCCTTTCAGGCAACATGTTAAGGTAGTATTTGTCTGGATCCGTCAAGAACTCTGCATATTCAAATGTTCCTTCCTCAGGAATGAACCTTCGGCACAGTGTGGGACGATTTAGAGGATAACCAGCATATGCATATTGCCCAAAGTTTACTGAAGCATGCAAGGCTGATGCAATCCATATAAGAGTTGTCAAAGCTTTGATGAGGTCCTCGCGTGATGCCATCTGGTACCACCATGTCTCGCTGCTCTTATCACCGTGACCAACGTTTCGGATTTCAGACCACCATGCTTGGATTTCTTCATCAGATCTTACAGAAACGTCGTCTGTGTAGAAGAGCATGCAAAAATCTGTTACCCAAGTCTGGATAGCAGTCCATATCTCAAGTCCATCTGCAGCATAGGGATAGTCCTGGAAAAGGAGCCGAACCCCGGAAGGGTTATTCGGATCTGGGTCTTCTATGGCCATACCTCTGAAAAGTGTTCACAAAGAAATCACTTCTTGGAAAGCATCTTCAGATAAACAATATTGCTCACTGAATGTCGAATTATGACCCAGGGTTATCATGGAATTATAAATACCTTTTAAGTAGATCAGCAGGAAGGGCTTGTTCATCAAATCGCCACTCTTTGTAGAGCTCAGCAGATAACTGCATCGAGAGTTCAGCAGAAAACAATGTCTTCTCAAGGATTCCACCAGAGTTAATGAGCATACTCCGAGCCAGAGCGTTTACGTGCATGGTGTCTTTGAAATGAGGATCTAGTAGCCAATGGACTGGGTGCATCACACTGAGCTGCCTTCTAGTAGCAATGATGAATGGCTCAACCACCGCATGTGTATGCAACCTAAAAGATTCATTGCACGGGCAAGCATTTTGGTTGTATGAAATGCAATGAACAATGATAAATGCAGTATTTAGGGTTCATCAAACAGTTCAACTCACCAATGGCTGACTAGTTGATGATAGACAGAGTCATTAACTGCAACATGGGCCTTAGCATATTGCCACAGTGCTGCAGCTTCGCCCTGACTTGCCGGTTGAACTACCCAATTGATCTCGTTGTTTACTTCTAAACCCGGCAAACTAAGTTCTATTGCTATTGGCTTTAGTGTGAAATCGCTCTTCAAGAATAGTAGTGTACGGGATGCGTAAGTACAAACATCCTTTGAGTTGATTTGGCTTAAGAAGGGCATGAGATAGTCATGGTGATCCAAGATGAACATTCTCCTTTTGTTCATTGCCTGTGAAGTTTATGGAAATTTATAAAAAAACAATTGCTATGAAAATGCATTCCTTCTGTGATACAACGTTGGGTTGAATTTACAACCGGTGTGAATTATATACTGATTTTTCAGTTTGGGAGGCAGGATGATCATACAGAATTACCTGAGGAAGAGTCATTCCTTCGAGGTTGTGCTCTATGTCTGATTGCTCTATTAAACTCACTTGTCCGTTTTTGCTTCGTGGTGGAAATACCTTCAATTTTCTCAAAAGAAAACCGATATATGAAGATAACTAGAATTGTTTTGTTGTTAATCGCGTAGAAACAGTACAGGTTGAGTAAGGGTAGGATGTACCTCCAAGGATCGTATTCGTGCTGGATTGATTCCTGCAAGCATTTGGCGGCCGAACTCCTCATCATGCTTCCATGCAAATTCGTTTTCTGGAAAGTGGAAAACAACAATCTAAAGAGTTATGAAGTGGCATCTACCGTGCAAGCTGCAGTAGTGTAATAGTCAGCTCCGTCACCTGCTATGATTTGAGGAACTGGAAATTTCAAGGGGTTCTTGATTGCATGAGTAACTTCTTTGAAAAACTCTTTTGGTACTAAAGCTTTCAGTTTCTCTTTGAGAGCGCCCTCAACTACTTGACTTTTGTTGCGAGAAAACATGTCATGTATCTCATCAAATGACTCAAAATGATTGGAACCGGGCTGTATCACAGATTCTACCTTATGGGTCAGGAAATGCAGGACAGCCTGGATCGAGTTTGATGCGAACTCAGATTGTTTCTTGGGGCTGAACCTCTCATCCGGAGGAACGTATATGTCCAGGTTAATGGTACTTGGTCGGCTTTCAGTTAAAGGATCTACGATTTGTCATGTTAGCCATGGAAATACTATTTGCTCTGACAACAAAATTGAAATGAGAAGAAAGAGAAGTTGTATACCTGCCTTGCTAGGATGGCGGCCTGTTCTTCCTCTGCGCGGATATGGATGTAATTCCGACCCACCCAAGACAGGTCTATTGTGTTCTTCGCCTTTGTCAGGATCCCCGAGGTCATTGTAGTAATCATAATCGTAAATTCGTTCCCATTCTTTCCTCTCCCCAGTTCCATCTCCTCTCAAGCTAATAAGCTCTTCCTTCCTCAGTTCTATTAGAGCTTTGGGTGTTTGATGCGGAAGATATTTCTGTACAACATGACCAGCTGTGTTGCTTAATTGCATTTGCAAATACTTGTGTCAAATAAAACAGGCGTTTTAGTAGTTGTGCAACTTACAGTATTTGCAAAGAAAATTCGATCTAAATTTTTGGTCGTTCGGAATGGATACACCCAGGAGTGGCAGTCGAAAAGTATAATCTGATTGTTCTGGATTTGAAGAGATGCAGATTGGAGGAAAAACCTATTCTTGCCTCGGTTTCTTACAACCAAAGCTCCTGGATTTCCAAAGTTTGGTTCAACCTGGAACTTGACCCTATATGTTCTGGATTTTTCACCATCATCTGTTTTGGTGGTTCCACATTTGAGGTAAGCTTGGTTGCTCAACTTGCCTTTGCCAGTTTCTGTTGGATACAACATCAAGAAAGTGAAGATTTTCGGGTCAGAGAATTACACAAAGCTCATTAGTTTTTCAAAGTAATTGCTCCAGTTTGAACTCACTTGGATCAACTTCTGTCGAACTATATAATCGAAGAGAAGCTGATTTTCCCGAACCAGATTGTTTATGGCTCTGGACAACGACAACTTCTCCTTTGATAGTTGAGCGTCTGCTCCGCTGTGGGCTAGTAACCGGGTGGCGCTGGTGTTGCATATTTGCTGCCTCCTGTGCATGGAAAAGTGACTCGGCAAATCAACCATGGAGAACTTTTTATGAGAAAATGAAGTTATTAATAATGTAGATGAATGTGAAAGGTAAAGACTTATGCTTTGCCTCTTATTCTTATCAAGGCATGTGATTCATTGCTTGACCAGAGGTTTTCTTCTTCTTTTGTGATATTTTAGTTCCATTCCAAGTACAAGTTTTGTGATTCTGTCCTTGATTCTTTTATCGATATCGCTACTAGACTTGCGAAAATTGAGCAACAAATACGGCAGGTGGAAAACGAGAAGTGCCAAAGGGTGCCAATTGGGAACATCTGCCTGCTGTCGTATCCAATTGCATTCGCTTGTGCAACAAGTAACAACCACGGAACGGCATCTGCAGTTTGGTGGAAAATCTTTCACTCTACTCCTCTTATGAACACCATACAATGTAACGTGAAGTGGCTGTCTTATTGAGCACTTGTGGAATCAACAAGGAGACCAGGAAGTACAACAAGCATCTGCATCTGCGTCCAGCCTACGTATTTTCCAGTTTCCCTGGAAAATTAAATAGAATGTATTTACTATTTAGCCGAAACCTGCATGCCCACACGCTTAGGATCCATTAGCTAGGCTGGATGGGATTGAGCTTCAGGGATAGGATTGGCATTGGATGAGTTATGTATGGTTTACATAACTCATCGTATTTTCCTTATTTTGGATTTGTAGCCAATCCAGTGTGTGATATATTTTTCTCACCAAACATTGAATGGGTTACAAGTTCAATTTAATTGGAAATAACCTATTTCATCCTTTCCACCAAATGAATCCTTAGCGTTTCAACTTCTCAAGTACAATGCAATGTACTAGCAACTTTTCAGCTTTTTCCAGATCTACAGAAATTACATGCCATGGCCACAAGACTTCTATAAATCGGAACTATTAATTCTTTTTTATCATCATTTAAAGATTATTTTTACAAAAATGAAAATAGTTTAGCCATTCATATGTATCAAACAAATGTTCATTTCATCATGAAGACACTACTTTATATCAAAATATTGGTTTAACATGCATGAATAACCAAAACAATCTCGAAATTGAATTATTTTTACAAAGATGATTTTAGATGATAATGAAGAATTAATAGTTGCATTTAACATGTTTAAAAGATAAAAAATACGTTAATTTCAAGGAGGAAGAATTTTATTATTATTTTTTTCTTCAGTGGTACATGCTATTTTTTTTTCCTCCTATATTTTTGGTGGAGTTCTATTTTCATTTTTCTCCTACTAACAAAAATAAAAATTTAAAAAAAAAGGTGTTGTAAAGGTGACTAGATGGATGGCCACTAATCCACTTTAATCTGTCTTTATTGGATGGAATGTTAGGTGACTCCACTAATATGCCTTTCACTATGGTGCTCATGATTTGCTTCTATAAAAGCAAGTCTTATGGAACACAACACACCTAAGAATGAAAGTAAGAAGTTCACGGAAGAGGAAGAGAGAAAAGAGAGGAAGAGGATAGGAGATAATAGAGAGAGTTATTTTTGTACTTCTATTATTCTAAATTATAATAGAAAGCACCACTGCTGCCCAGATGACTTACTCCAGTCACACTGACTATAGAGGAACCTCGTAAATTTTGTGTCTTGTTTCATTTATTTCACTGCACACACCGTTGATTTTACAACACGTTATCAACACGAGAAGCTCTCATGTCAGTGGAAAGCACAACGTCATAAATCCGGTGAAGCATTACCTACCTCTCACCTCTGCTAGCCAAAATCTCACAAAATAAAAGGTATGTCCATTTTTTGTCTCTCCCACCGCCCTTGAAACGCCCCACCGAATTCCGGTGAGAATTGAAATTTACAATGACCTGAAGTCGTCACAAGATGAGAAAACTCGTACTTGACAACTGATTTCTAGAGATCCAGAATAATCTCATCAGACTTGGAAACCCAAATTACGTCGTTTTCGACGAATCTCAAGAACTCTCATGAATACTCGGTTGTCTGAGATGGTGATGGCAAGAATGAATCCACACAAGCCTTCATCTCTTGTGCCTCCGTCAACCCCACTATCATCTATGTCTCTGTAGGGAGGTTCTTGCTTTTGTGATGCCATGTTCTCTGGGCCATGCAAGAACAACGTCAGTCTCTGGTAACCTTTTTATATTGAGTTGGTTTTGTGTGACCTCCACAACAACCCAACTGGTCCTGGGTTTCGAGACTGGTAGAGATAGACAAAGAAAGAAAAAAAAAAGTTTATGGAATATGCATGGCACAATCTGAAAAAGGCAATGATGCACGACATAATAATTGTCTCGAACTGCAGATCGAACAATATGCCAACACGAATTTTATCCATGATGTTTATGATATTAAAGAATCATATAGATTGAAGATTATGAGTTGAATACTTAAATGATGTTGACATTAAGAATGATCATTTATCTTCATGAGGGAAAAAATAAATTGATATTTGGTCCAGAAGGACCACATCTTAGTGAAGTAAATGCTTTATTATATTTGACACAATATATTGAATGAAATAAAGCTTATCTATTAATATCTTCGAGAAATTATAGATATGTGCATACACATGAGTTAAAACAAACAAACAGGATGAAACCTTCACAAAGGTTGCTCATGTAAAGCTTCAATGTTCGGCAGTACCCTAGAAGGAGGAGGAACTGGAGATTGATCATGTGGCACCCCAGTACTTGACAAAACACCAAAAGGGGAAGGCAGCAGTTGCTTTCGAAATCTAGCAACGAATCTCTCGTGATCACTTTGAATCCGACTTTCAGATTTCTGCAGCTGGTCGAGCTTTCTTTTCATGCTCATCGAGTAATTATTTACAAGCACGTGTAACATTCTATTCTCGTGCTTAAGCCCATCTGATCTCTTGTTTAAGACTTGTCACCTCAGGCATCAATGATTCAACTTGGCGAGTTTGAACAAGTAAGCGTTGGCCCATATTGGATACAGAGCCCGCACATTGAACACTAAGAGCCAAAGAGTCTTGAACGGTCGACTCATCAGACTTTTTTGAAAGGATTCTGTTATCCTTTAGAGTGAGAAGATTCCTAGCTACCACAATAACGGTTATGTTATTCTTCATCACAGAATCCCCAACTGTAAGAGGACCATTAGAAGATAAGAAGGACGAGCGCCATATATTATCTTGACGATGCTTGTCTGTATCACTCCTAAGACTCAAATCTAAGAAAATGTTAGATGGGCAAGCCATTTTCAAAAATGATGAAGGAAAAATGAGGTCAAAATCTCAGAAGTGCAAGAAGGGGAAAATTTTTACAGGCAACAACTTTTTTAGCATACTTTTGAACACAATTGATGTCTCTATAAAAGAAGAGGCAACAAAGCCACTTGTTCAGATATCGAAGAGGCACCGCTTTCCGAATTTCAAAAGCCAGATTTTCTTGAATAAAGTTTGTTGGCATTTTTCAGACGCAATCTCAGTTTTTTCGGATATCGTGTGCAACTTTGTCAAAGATCTCTGACAAAGTTGAAAACGCGTAAATCTTACTGTTCTAATTACACCACAGTTGCTGACAAGAGTAAATGCACCACACCACTACTTGCTATTGGGAAATCTCTATATATGTCGACCTCCGTTCTCCATAACAAAGCAGACCTGCAAGAATACCTAACTCTTCCTCATCTCCGAGAATGCATCTTCAACAAAGCATCTCGAAATACTCATGTCTTCCTTTCCGAGAATACCTCTTCAAAACAAGTCACACCAAAGTAAGAGTATCTCATATCATCAGGGTCGAAAGCAAGAGTATCTCTTATCATGTTTTTTTCCATGTTCTTTCCTTTGTCCTTATTCTTACCTACAAAGACAAGGATAAAGAAAGCAATATGTCGGAACCTTCAATCAAACTTCCGGTAAGGAACCAATTGCCTGGAACCTTTCCTGATTGCTTACCTAGCATTGCTCTCGAGTAACCATTTCCAACTGTTGTTGGAGCTGGGTCTCCAGTCACGAAAAAGTGATGAACCATCCAAATGAAAGGGTTGCATTCCATTCTTGCAACAGGGGACGAATACTATAAGAGAAGATGTCACACATGCATGGGGGAAAACCAAGAAAAATACCACTTATGCAAGGGGAACAGATAAGACAAGTGAAAATGATACATTGAAGCATGTGGAGATAAGCACAACAAACACGTGCTGATTCATCCCTGACAAAGTTGAAGACTATTTGCCACGTGAAGCTCCTCATGGTCCAATTTCATTCAAGATCAAGCCTCGACAGTCCTTGAAGAAATCACAAGTCTGATTCAAGATCAAGTGTCCACCACCTTTGAATCAAATTCAGCTCCAAATAAAAGGAGTAAATTCAGATATTTGGAGGAAGTCTAGCAGAAGGCCCTCTAGCCCAGTTCAAGAACAAGCATGTGGAAAGTCAACAAGCACAACATATATGATACTACTCATCAAGGGGAGCATCCAAAAACATATCAAGATTTTAAGGAGTCAATCGAAGACTTGTGACCATTCAAGATGGAATGTTGTAAAGGTGACTGGATGACTAATCACTAATCCACTTCAATCTATCTTTATTGGATGGAATGTTAGGTGACTCTACTAATATGCCTTTCACTATGTTGCTCGTAATTTGCTTATATAAAAGCAAGCTTTATGGAACACAACACACCTAAGGATGAAAGTAAGAAGTTCACGGAAGAGGAAGAGAGAAAAGAGAGGAGATAATAGAAAAAGTTATTTTTGTACTCATATTATTCTACATTGTAATAGAAAGCACCACTGCTGCCACGAGAACGTACTCCAGTCACACTAACTGTAGAAAAACCTCATAAATTTTATGTCTTATTTCATTTATTTTATTGCACACACCTTCGATTTTACAACAAAAAAAAATATTTTTTTTCTCCCAAACAAACAGGTCATCGCAGTCACACAGCCAAATCGTTGCCCAAACCTGAAACAAAAGATGGCGATGGCGAGCCTTCAGAGACTCCGTCACTCTCAAATCCTCCACCGCCTCCCTTCCCTCTCCTTAATCTCCAGATCCTCCGCCTCCACATCCTCCCCCACTCACTCCGCCAAAGTCTCCGACCGAATCGTCAAGCTTTTCGCGATCGACGTCGACGGCCGCAAGCGCGAGGTGGTGGGCCTATCCGGCCACACTCTCCTCAAGGCCCTGGCCCAGAGGGGCCTGATCGACCCGGCCTCCCACCGGCTCGAGGACATCGACGCCTGCTCCGCCGAGTGCGAAGTCAACATTGCTCAGGAATGGTTCGACAAGCTCCCGCCGCGGTCCTACGACGAGGAGTACGTGCTGAAGAGGAACTCTAGGGCTAGGGTTCTCAACAAGCATTCCAGGCTGGGATGCCAGGTCGTACTCACTCCAGAGCTTCAAGGTATGGTGGTTGCTGTCCCTGAGGCCAAACCCTGGGACATTCCATAAGCTTAGGGTAGTGAAATTCTTGGGATTTTACTCTGTTTTTTGATACAATAATGCGATTTTCTGGCTCTGAGGGAATTATGTGGAACCAGTTTTTAATGTTGTGGGTCTAATGCTTTGGATTTCTGTGTATGAATTGAGAAAATTGTTGTTCAATTTCATGATTTGAATATTTTGAAATGTTGAATTGTTTGTTTTGGCTTCCGTATTAATCTTTGTGCTTTTTTCAGTGTTGATTTAGTTGGTGAAAATCGATGAAATGTAGGAGAAATGTTGAAAAAGTGTTGAGGCATAGATTTCGGGTTTTCTAGAATGGGGTCAGAAATCCTTGTTCGTTGTTCCATTTAGTAATATAAGGGTGGTGTTTCGGAAGTAGGAGGCTAGGAGCAGATTGAGTAAATGACGGACATATTTTTGACCTGGATGGAGTTGAATGTGGATTTCAGTTTGTAGGCTTAGGTCCAGGAAGTAAATGTAGAGTTCGACTTGAATGGAGGTTGAATGTGAATCTTTAGTTTGTAGTAGTCATCTCGTTGTAGTTTACATGAGCGAAGAGTGGTAGCTGTTTGGTTTATATTAATTGATTGCTGCATAACAACCTGCAAATTGTGGAATTCTATGGAATGTTGCGTAAAGGTAATATAATGCAAGAACTGGATGGAGGTAGGGAGTTTAGATTTTCACCTGATAATAGTTTCAGTAACAATGATGAGGAACTTGAAACGCTTGATGATAGGCGAGTGTTAATGTTCATGGCTGGGTTTGTTTTGCAATTGGCTATAGTTGCTTGAGCTGGCGATAGTACTGAATCACAATCGCTTATGTGAAGTTGAGATTAGTGTAGCTGTGCAAGAAACTAAGCAACATATTGGTTTATGTTCAACGCGTGCTTTTATGAACTTTTCTGTTTTGCACACTGCTCGGTGCAGTTTTATTCCATTACATGGGTTTGGTTTGGTGACTTTGGTCACCCATAGTTTTGCACTTGAGATGTTTTGGAGATGTTTTGTTCTTTTTTTCTTATTTTCTAGCACCTTAGTGGAGCTTACTTGAGATATTATACGAGCATTATTCTTTGGGTACTGGGTAGTGGAGATTTCGAAACATCTTTCTGAACTCTTTTCTTTCCAGCATGCTGGAATAATAAGGGATAGGTATCGTGCGGGATAGGGAACCATGAGAAGATCATGATAGGTGTAAGTGGCTAGAGCTCTTCAGGAAGCACGTATATATCCTGTATTTGCATCATCTCCAGATTCCTAGAACCTAACAAAAGAGGGGCAGAAGATGTATAGTTGTAGTAGTGACTACTGAAGCTCCCGTTTTGCCTTGTGTAATGTTTTGCTTCCTGGTTTGCATGATCTAGCAGCGCCTTCTAAATTAGGCTTTTAACCCGAAGTGAGGGGGAGAAATAGACATAACAAAATCACCAAATTACCTCAAAAAATGGCTCACGGGCTTTGCATGTCCCTATTTACCAAAACATTGAACTAAACTACTAATTGACGTGATATTGTCTCGTTTTTATTGCCACATTGATTTTTGAAACTATAAGGAGGCTCAAACTAAAATTGAAAATCAATGTGGCAATTTGGTGGACCACAAACGATAGTTCAAAGGGAACTTTAACAAAAAGCTCTTGTTACTGTTCACTTTAACGAAAAATCACATTTTTACACTAAAAAGTCAATCCTGATACTATTCACTTTACCCTTTATTTTGTCCTTATCGTTAAAACTCAAAGTTTTCAAGCCCTTTTCATTAGTTTTCCTTAGTTCAAAGGGGTAACTAAATTTTTCCCTCAGTAACCTATTTGTTTCAAATCGTTATCATGGGTCTTGTTGTACTGAGAAGTACTTTCATTCCGCTCATGTTGCTGCTTCTCAAGTTAATCAGTTATGTTTAAAAGTTATAACGCCTTAGAAGAGCATCTGTAAAAGAGATGTCAAATTTTAACTTAAAATTTAAATTTGACAACCTATGTGGTATTTTGACATGTTTTAAAGTTTTGCTCTTCACTTAATATGTCAAATGCAAATATTATTATAAATTTTAATAAAATAAATAAAATGCATTTAATAATTAATTAAAAAGAGTTTTGAAGCTGTTGTCAATTTTGTCAATAATGGTGAGGGTTACAAATCCATATCATGCCACATCATATTTTGTTTTTCGGTTGAAAAACATTGTCGTTGCCATTTATTAATGTTAGTACTAATTTGAATATTTTGATTTTTTTTTTGGAGACTCCCTAATAAGTGATTAATTTGTGATACAATGCCCAAACTCTAGCCAATGGGCCGAACAATCATTAGTCTGAAGTCTATAGGGCTGAGCCCACTCGAGCAAAAGAAAACCCTAGTTCCTGCTAATTTTCTATATAAATACTACGATATCAGAGAGATTAGCAAGTATCGTCCTGTGCAGGGTTCCTCTTCTTCTTCTCTTCCGCGGCAGCTCCCGTCCGATTCCAATTCCTTTTCTTTCCTCCATAAATCCCCGCCGTCGCTTCTTCGATTGTTTTGATTCGATTTAATCTCCCTATTTATTTTATCAAATTTTGCTTTGAATTTTTGAAAGGGTAAGCAAGTTCAGCTTCTTGACTGGGTGTCGAATCAACGATTCAGCCAAATGAATTACAAACCTTGCGAAATCCAAATCGGCAGTAGCACTCGCCTGAATCTGACTTCCTCCTGATTCTTCAGGCCCTTTTACTACTGTCACATCTTCTTCTTTTCCATTTTCCCCCAATTTAATTTATAAAGTTTGATAAATAATTAATAATTATATTAAGCAAACGCACTCTGTCCCTAAACAGTCGATGTTTTGAGGCAATTTCTTCGTTTGCAATATTAATCGAGTTCTAGTTTTTCTAGATAATCCAACTACTCGCCCATTATCCCTATTACTATGGTTGGTTTTGTGGGCACATGGTTGGATTACACTTGTTTTTATTTTCTTAAATTTAATTTGATATTTTCTGTAAATTGAATTTGATTGATGAAGAAAATGATGAAAGAGATGTGAAAGGGTGATGATCTTTCGATTTAAAATGATCAGAATAATATCTCTTCGCTACGTTCTTTCTGATTCTAAAACAAATAAATAAGGGCTACTATTTGGAATTAAAACAAACAAATTCTTACACATTCTTTGCACGCTAAAAATGGTGGGACTAAAAAGATCTTAGACTTTGGAGATTGGACTGAAAATAAAGTCTTACTAGAAGTTTCTCATTAAGGCTAAAAAAAATAAAGAAATCTTAATATGATCAGAATAAAACGGAGTTGAACATAATTAGACTCTTAACCGTAGGTTTTATGTTATATAAACAATAGCTAATTGGGGATGGAAGATTTGAATGAGAAATAATCTTTAGACACCCTCCCCTCGGTTGTGTTGTTTACTTTTTATTTTCAATTCAGATGAAGTAACCTTCTATTTAATTAATTCAAATGAAATAAACTTGGAGAATTAACCTTTTACTACAGTGGTGGAAATGTGTTGTGCCATTGCATGGCGACGTGGGTTCAAATTTCGTCAGTAGTTAATCTAATATTTAACTTACGCTATTGTTTCACTCAAAATAATAATAATATTAATTCAAATGAATTAAATTTGCCCGTTCTTTGCAGAAAAAGGGTGTTTATAAATCACTTTATATTTGAATTTGGATGCATCCGGACAACTACTTTACTTTATGGGTTCATTTGAATTTTGAAAAGATATTTAAGTGCTCTCTACCGAAATCACATAACTGGTACTAGTGCTTCTTGCACAAATATCTTTAAGAGGTGTACTCAATTGGGAATTTAAGAGATTTTAATTGATTTATAAATTCATGAATTTTTATAGAGTTTAACTGATTTGTAGAGATTCTATGTAAAATTTTGATTCAATTCACTGGAAATCTCATGGGAAGAGATGAGATTTGTGAATGATTAAAATACACTACAAAATCTCTTCAATTCCCCTTTAATTCCGCAACTTTTCTAAATTTTTTAAATTCTAATTCTAATTTAATACACCTGAAATGTTACAAACTTCTTTAAAATTCTAATTGAATACATCTGGATTTCTAAGGATTTTAATAAACTATCTTAAAATCCTGATTAAATACACATTAAATTTCAAAGAATCACTTAAAATCCTGATTGAATACTGCTGGATTCATTAAAATAATTAAAATCCCTCAAAATCCCAATTGAATACACCCCCTAAGTGTTTTTGGAACCCTATAAATATATTTTTTTAAACAATTTTGATTATTTTAAAATGACTTCCAAACGAATTCAAACCTCATTTTTTTTTATCATTGCAAACTAGCTTAACTCACGTCCTTGTTACTGAGTATGATAATTGAATGATAGTTCAATTTCACCATAAAAAACCAAGCTAGCTTTGATAATTACCCAAAACTCCATTCTATATTTTGGGCATGCGCAAACTTACGATCTGCACAAAACTTGTGTTCAAACAAAAATGCAACCTTTGAAATTGAATCATAAAAAAAATATAAAAAAAAATAATAATGAAAAGGGTTTATAAATTTTAAGTTTTAATGAAAATGACAAAAATGTGTTGTAAATGAATAATACAATGATTGACTTTTTAAAGTAAAAATATGATTTTTTTATTAAAATAAACAATAGCGAAATCTTTTCGTAAAATTTTTTTAAAAAAAAACCCTAAAATCAAGTCTTAATTCGAGAAAATACGGCGCCACAATTATAGACGCAGCGCCGCAAAAACGGCGGGTTTCATTCCAAACGACTTCAAACCAATACCCGCGTTTTTCAACTGACAACGTTAAAAACCAAAATTTTAAGCCAATCAATCATCAACGTACAAACGTTTGACCCTAATCGATTTTTCACCTCCTTTTTCCTTGTAACAACTCCGTACAACTCCCACCACAAATTCTCAGTTCGGTACTAACCAAGTTTCCCAACCATTTTTTTCCTCAGGGTTTTTTCCCATATTTTCTACCCTCCATTCCTCACTTCTTCCAAGAATTGAAATCTTTCTTACCATTTGGGTTTTTTTTTTGCTGGTTCCTCAATATCCCGATCGAATTTTGAATCGTACTATTTGGTGGTGATTCATTATTTTTTTTAGCAATTTTAATGGACAGGGCGGAGGTACGGCGGGTTTTCCAGATGTTTGATCAGAACGGGGACGGGCGGATCACGAAGAAGGAGCTGAGGGACTCGTTGGAGAAGCTGGGGATTTACATTCCGGACAAAGACTTGATCCAGATGATTGAAAAAATCGATGTCAATGGAGATGGGTTCGTGGACATTGATGAATTCGGGGCGTTGTACCAGACGATCATAGGCGAGAGGGACGAGGAGGAGGACATGAGGGAGGCGTTCAATGTGTTTGATCGGAACGGAGACGGATTCATCACGGTGGACGAGCTGCAGTCGGTTTTATCTTCCTTGGGGCTGAAGCAAGGAAGGACATTGGAGGATTGCAAGATCATGATAAAGAAGGTTGATGGTGATGGTGATGGGAGGGTGAATTTCAAGGAGTTTAAGCAGATGATGAAAGGTGGTGGGTTTGCTGCTTTAAGCTCAAATTAGCTAGCAGAAGCATTATTTTTCATGGTAGTGATTTTCGATTTTCCATTCTCTCCTTCTACACTCCTCCCATTATTTGTGTACCCTTATTTGCCTTCGAGTTTATTCGATCGAAGGGCTAGAAATACAAGGGGTGCAGGAGGGGAATGCATGGGGTGTACGAAAATCATCACGTTGTTGTTGTTTTTTTTTTTTCAATAGAGAAGGAGATACAAAAGAAGAGCAGCCTTGTTGTTTAGAGGTTTAGAGGCCTCTCTCTCTTGTATAATTTCATTTTTATTTCAAAAGAATGCAAACTCTTTCATTTCTTTGATCGGTATCTTTTCGATATCTTTGAAATCTTTGAACATTGATCGTAGTAACTTTTTACTTCCTGCGATCCAACGAATTGAGCCAAAGTATGAGAGCGATCTAAGGTGGACATCTCCTTCATCTTTTGATGGAACCAATTTTTCAACCTTCTCGTCCAAGAATATAGCAACTCCTTGAACTTTACCAATTACCTTGTTTCTAGCCATAAAATTGGCGATTTGGAGGAAATGCTCCTCTTCTGCCTTCAACAAGCACATGTCTCGCATAAGATCATGGATACGGCAGGTTTTTATCTTCCTAACCGAACCCCGTTCCCCAACTTCAGCCACACACCTTTCGACCAACTCAGTTAAGCAGTTATATGCTATACCTTCCATGGTTTCGACTGAACTTTGTCTATGTTGGGCCAAAGAAATAAAACCTTCTGGTGTCCATAGGTTAGCCAACTTATTCACTGGAATCTCATAATCCTCAGGACACTGACCTAAATAAAGAAAGCCAGCATGGCTTTAAATGATACGGAAAGTCGTCATAACTCAATGCTAACAGCCACGTTGCACCTGTGTACGCTTGTTCTTGGCCTTTGCTTCTCCTTATGTTTGCATAAACATTCTTATTCTTTGTAGCTAGAAGTCCTGTAAGAAGAATATTGATGGCTAATGGCAAACCTGCACACCGTTGAAGAGCTTATTGAAAATTTCGAGTCTGAAAGAAAAACACCAAATTAACAGCGCTTCCCATTATAAAGGCTACCGTTCAAACCATTTCGAAAGCACTTATAACTAAGAGAAAAGAGTAATGCTATTTAGACATGCAAAGTTGACACAGTCGAAAACATTCGTTTCAATGCCTAAAAGTAAAACGTAAGTTTTTCTTTCCATCCATTTTTTTATTGACGTGACCACATTCATATCTAACAAAAAAAAAAAGCTCAAAGCGATCAAGTCTGTTATTGTTTTGTTAATCGTTAGTCAATATTCAAACAAGAAAAGTAAAGATAAAAGAGTTATTGAGAAAATACCCATATAATCCCTTCTAAGAAGTGCTGTCTTTTCGAACAATTTCCAGCTCTCTTTCTCATTTATAGTGGGAGGGGTTGGTAGAGGATACCACTTGGATCAGCATGCGACGCTACTGCTTCTCTACGTGTGGTGAGTAATATTCTGCTCTTTGTTTCCTCGTATGGAAGTGCAGCTTTCAAGGAGTCCCATGCCTCAATACCGCAAATATCATCAAGAACCACCAAACATCTTTTATTGATCGGGAGAAGACAAAGTTTCTTGGCTATTTCAGCATCACTCATTTGAGCGATTTCTTTTCTTTGCTCACAGGTAGCAGAAATGAGTTTCGTTAAAATTTCTTGCCAAACATTTCTCACTTGAAACTGTTTAGATATACACACCCCAAGCAAAAGAGTTAAAACTGCGTCTGACTTCGTTATGATGGTAAATCTGTTTCGCAAGAGTGGACTTGCCCAAGCCACCCATCCCCCATATAGAAACAACTCGGAGGCGGTGATGTTTATCTCTTACCAATTGCATAACCAACTCCTTGACACTCTTCTCTAACCCGACAACATCACATTCTAGGTTCGCCTTAGTTGTTGCTTCCTCTCATTAACGTGTAACCGCTGCTCTCCCTTATGTCCCTTATGTTGTGAGCCTGCAAACTACTCAACCTCAAATGAGAGATTTTGGTTGTAATGTTCCCAATTTCTGACCCTATCTCATGAAGATTGACTCCTTCAATCAAGATGGAACGGAACCTTTTCATAAAACTCTTAACACCTCCTCCTTTCCTCTTGGAACTTGGAAGTCACCTTCAAGGCAAAGTTTTCACTGACATCCTCCAAATCATAAGCAGCATCTCTAATTTCAGCAACCAAAACACGTATTACTTCTTTATCTCTTTGTCTTGCATCTGCATCCTTCAACAAGCCCTGCATCATTTTTAGCTCGGTTTGTGCAAGCTTAACTTGATCGCCAACTCCTCACAGAAACTTGCCTCCTTAATTATGAAGTCACCAAGCTTTTCGGCCACAAAGGAAACAACAGCCTTAGCCGTATTCTCCACCAAAAGAAAATTGAACCGCTAAACCAGACTTAATTTGTTCGTATATCAATTCAGATTGATGATAAGATCGATCGATCTTAAGCAATTTGCATATAAGACCTTAGAATTTGCAACTAACCTCCCTAGATCAATTTTTATTCATATAATCAAAGACTAAAGAGCAAATATATACATATAGTAATCACTAAATAAACTGTTTCATTTGATCTCGATGTGGGTTGCATGCATCACATGGAGATAAAGTTCAATGTATCTCACATCTAGCTGGTTGAAATCACACTCATGCTAGCTTTTTCTATATTTTATCTAGCTTTCATCGTTTGCTCTTAAAAAATCCATCCAAAATGAGATCATGAGAGACGACTTCAAGTTCATGAGCCAAACAAGATTCTCAAGTCTTCATAAAAATATTTTACCCTAAATTACTAACTTTATGCCATTTATTTTTTGGACAAACAATAGGTACTTTATACTAAATTCATCTAAATTAAAGGGAGGTGGAGGGTTTGAACTCAGGACACAATGATTTGAACCCTATCCATCACTTGCACTAAACTTTATACCACGGAGTTAAATACTTTGCTATCTCGAACCCTCTAAACCTAACATTATCTTCTTGTCACATTTATTTTCAATAATCCTATTTAGGAGTTTTTTCTAGTATGCACACATGTTCATCAAATGCATGTCATACACTGGTGTACTCCAATAACATTTTCGCATATTTAGAGACATAAAATTTCCTTAGGGAGGGACATCTCTCTCTCTCTCTCTCTCTCTCTCTCTCTCTCTCTCTCTCTCTCTCTCTCTCTCTCTCTCTCTCTCTCTCTCTCTCTCTTTATTTGAGAGTATATATGTGTGCACGGTGATTGTACACATTCAGGGTTTGTCTTAAATTTTCGAAAAGAAAGTAGGTCATAAAAGGTTTTTGTTACTCGATTATTTGAGACATTTTAGGTCGAATCTGTTACGAAGTTGACATTGAACATGTGTGTTGGAAAGCAAATATGTTGCGGTTGAGGTTGTGGGTGATATTCTTGTAGATTTAGGACATTCTCTATGTTCTCCTAGATTGTTTCATGACCATTTTCTCTCGCTCAATCCTTCATCAATTTTGATCTCTAGGAGTTGGGGTATATATGAGAGATGATGTATGTAGATGTTTTTGGTAGCTCTTCTTTAGCCAAGAAAATAAGTAAATTTGGAAGTCCAACACGATTAAAGTGAATTATTTCATGTCTCATGACATTACCAAGTCATGTGTGCTTATGGTATTGGTTGCTAATTGATGGAAATGGTATGATAAACCGTCAAGTTAACTTATGTTATGTGACATTTCATTTCAAACGATTAAATTTAAGTTGAACACTTGTCTGTGATGTGTTGTCGCATAAAGAAGCCCAAACTAAGATTTCCATGATGGAGGAAAAAAAATGCAATGGTATTATTTTTTTCCCTCAAGACAATAGGTAAATAAAAGTAACTATTACAAATGTGGAGAGGGATATAATAAACAAACACCCGTTCAGCTTCTTATTCCGCTGTTTAATTTTGATTATTATTTTCACTTGATTTATTCAATTTATAAATTAAAAAATTTAAGTAAAACGTTAAAATGAATGTGTGCAAAAAATCACTTTCCATTAAAAAAAAAAGAGAATCTTAATAAAACACTTTCGGTATTGTTCACTTTTAACGTTAAGAACATTTTTACCTTAAAAAGTCACTCCTGATACTATTCATTTATATCTTTATTTTGTTATTTTCATTAAAACTAACATTTTTAAAAACTTTTCATTAGTTTTCTTAAAAAATAACCCTGGTAAAATCACAACTTACAGAACAACCACCCCAACATAAATACGACGGCGTTTTGGTGCATACGCTGCTGGTTCTCGTCGTCCCAATTGGGGTTAATGGCAACACGCCAGAAAACACATTGGAAGAAATTCAGTTGAACCCTACCACTACCGAGCTCCCAAACGTTGGATTTTGAGAACTTGGAATTCCAGATGGCCTAACTCGCCTTCTTTCGGATCCTCCAAACAGAGGATTGCTATTTCCTACCGCAGCTCAGCCCCAATGCAGAAACTGGCGCGGCCGAGCGTTTTCCGGTCACTGCGCCTTCTCAAATCCCACAACCACCCCAAAATATACCGACCCAGGTACCCTCTTTCTCCAAATCCCAAAAAGTAGTGAATTTTCTGTGATAATTGCATTGAAATGTATAGCATTTCATGTTTGGACCTCAAAATGCAGTAGCTTGGGTGATGTTGTATGCAAGGTGTTCGATGAAAAGCCTGTGTGGGACGTGGTGGGCATTGCAAGGTTTCCGTTGGAGTGCCAAAAATGGGTTCATTCGGCTCCGTGTGTTAACACAGAACACAAGGCTGTGGAGCCGTTGGAAAATTCAAAAGACGGCGCGGGTGCTGAGGCCACTGGTGATGGTAAAGTGAAGAGGAAAAAGCTCAAGGGAAAAAGGGCAGTGGTTAGGTGGCTCAAGTTCTTCAGGTATAAGAAGAAGAAAGACTATGAGAGAATGACTGCTGAGGAGAAAATTCTCCACAAGTTAAGAAAGGTAAAATAATCTGTACGTTAAGAGTTGTATTGGGTTTTGATTTCGTACAAGTTATCTGGCAATTTTGGAGTTTTCAGCACATCTCTCAACTGATGTTTGCATGAAAAAGGTAGCACGATTCTGCGAAATGTTTAGAGACTGATGAAAATATGTGATTTCTGTTTTTGCAGGCTCAAAGGAAAGAGGAAAGGCTTGTTGAAGCTCTCAAAAAGATTGAGCCCTCGGAGCCATCGGAGACAAACCATGATCCAGAAATATTGACGCCGGAGGAACACTTCTACTTTCTGAAGATGGGTCTCAAGTGCAAGAACTATGTGCCCGTTGGTAGACGGGGGATATACCAGGGTGTGATTCTGAACATGCACTTGCATTGGAAGAAACATCAAACTCTGCAGGTGGTGGTGAAAACATTCTCACCTGAAGAGGTTAAGGAGATTGCTTCTGAGCTGGCTAGATTAACCGGAGGGATTGTGCTCGGCATTCATGAAGAATACACGATAATTATGTATAGAGGGAAGAACTATTCTCAGCCTCCAACAGAAATCATGTCACCTAGGGTCACTCTCTCCAGGAAGAAGGTTCGCTTATCGTCTATTTTTTTCTAAAATTAGATCTTTCTGAGAAATTAGACTTTTAACTGTCTCCACTAGAACACTGCATGTCAAGCGCAAGCCGAGTGCTTTTTGACTCCATATTTGAAATTAATTTTGATACTGTAAGCGCCTCGTTGCTCTTTTCTGATAAACATTTTAAATCAATTCCTGATAACATGACAATCAAGTCCCTTGCTTGCTTCCTCATGACCGGAAAACTAACAAGTTTTCCTTATATAATGTTCGTTTAAAAGATCCATCAGTAAATAAAACACAAATATACAATGATATGCACGTATATGTTCGACAACACGGTTAGACTTTTGACAGGTGTTGAAATTAAAACTAGGTTCCCTGATCATATACTGAAGCACTGTCTGTCATTATTTGTTTTCGTGTTTTCCCTTATGTTCTCTGCTCCTCCATACAGGCTTTGGATAAATCGAAGTATAAGGATGGTCTTCGAGCTGTAAGGAAATATATTCCAAAACTTGAACAAGATCTTGAGTTGCTTCGAGCACAGGCTAAAAGGAAAGTAGACATCAATACAGAGTACATTGAAGAAACGCAAGAAACTGGTACTGAATCTACTGATAGTGCACACTCTGGTAGCTCCTCAAAGTTGAAGCTGGAGGCTTCAAATAAGGTAAAAGAAATGATGGATAGGAGCAAGGAACGCTCTGAGGATGACCTTTCAACAGATGTGGATATAGCTTCAGACTCTGAAGATTTATCTGATATTTTTGATACTGACTCTGAGAAGGAGACCGAGAAGAAGGCAGAGCGACCTCTGTATTTGGAAGAGTTTGAAAAGTTTCCAGTTGAAGGTGATGGCGAACCTGAAGATTTTGAGGATCACCTGCGTCAAATATCTAGGGACGCAAAGAAGGATAAATCCTTGGACGAAGATGCTGGCTTGCCGAATTTTGATGAAGTTGATCGAGTATTTCTGCGTGCTGCTTCACTTTTAAAGAAAAAAAGAAGATGAGACACTTGTAAATTGCTTATGATCACAATTCGATGGTTAGATACTTGCACTTTTTTTAGTCTCCTGCTAATTAGATACTTGTGATTTCTAGTTAAAGTAATATTTGATTTCAAGGCTTATTCCTCCCAAAATTGAGCAAGAGTTACTCTCATAAATTAAGATTAAAATGTCCTCAATCCTCAACTTCTCTTATATTAAGTATCTTACTGTATCTTCAACTCTATCTACATCGACTTGTGTCTCTCGTTGCTATATTCGCTTCCATATCTGTAATTCCAGTGTTTAATTACTCAAAATATTGTTTTTTACTTCAAGGATATAGTTGTAACTGTGATTCATGAGGAAGAAACTTTGGTGTTCAACAAAAGCATATAAAATCTTAAAGGCTTCAAGGTAGGAGGAAACTCAGCAGAATGTGATGTTTGGGGGGGGGGGGGGGGGGGGGAGTGGTGTTATTATGTTTCTCGAATGTAATACAATGTGATGTGTGGTTGTGAAGTTGGATTGGACAGAAACTTCAGCCGAAAGGGACTTGAATGCAGTTGTAGAACCACATATCGGTAGGAATTTGAGTCTGAAGATGCTGCCGAGGTTTTTTACGAAGATTATTCAAGGCGAGTTGGGTTCATCATGTGTATAGATCAGTGTCGGCGATCAGATGTTGACAAGAGAGTTCTTTCCCGTAGGCTATCCTGCAATAAGCAAGGAGGGCGTTCTGTAAAAGCTAGAGACCGAGTCCTGTCAGTTTGAAGACCACGACCTATGAGAAGAGAATGTTGTAAAGCAATGATGCTAGTCAAACTTGATGAGTCTGGAAAATGGGTTGTTACAAGAGTTGTTAAGGACCATGCTCATCCACTTATAGTTTCTTCCGGGAATTCTATGGTAAGTTCATCTAATCTAAATTCAAGAAAAAAGTAACCATTGCTCGAATCTTGATGTGATTCTTGATTAATGGAATTGCAATTTAAGCCTGTTACTCTTCTTATTGAACTTCTAAAGCATGAGGAGAAACATGATTGATTGAACTTTGATTTCAAAACCGTGGTTTATGTACTTTTTTATCAGGTCTAAGGTAGGTCTAAGGTGCTTTAGATTCTTCATCCCTGCTATAACTAGCAAGGTTTCCATCTAATGTAATTGATTAGCTTATCTACGAATGAAGACTTTCCGGGTTTCCATGCAATGGAGTTACATGCGTTTTGTTTTCTAATGTTCCAGAGAATTGGATCATATTAGTCAGGATGGGAGTATTTTCCTTTTCTTTTAAGACGAAGAGTCTTTTATTTAGGTTGTTTCATTATTAGGAAATATGGTTTGACAAAGGATCTGAAAGTGTGCATCGTTACATGGTTGCAGAAGTGCATTACCTGCAACCTCTGAGTCTGATTTTCTTTCAAATAAACATTCGCAGGACGCAAAGGATATGAAGATTGCGGAACTCACTATGGACCTGGGGCGTGAAGAGCAATTATGTGGACAATACCATGAGCCACTACTTACATTGCTGAATAATGTTGAGGCGGAGACGGAACTGATAGCAACGAAAGTTAGAGGAGTCGTTAACCATGTAAGAGAATTTGAGACTGACGTTGAAGGGCTTCCACAAAATCAAATGGAGGCTAAAGTTCGACGGCTTCCTCCAAATCAAACGGTGACTGAAGTTCAAGGGCTTCCACAAAGTCAATCAGGCCACAATTAGAGACAGAATTATGGCTCTGTGCAGACTAGGTGCATGAGGATTCGACTGATGTTCTCCTGGAGAGTATTCTGACAGACTAACATACTGTACAGCAGAAATGTCTTGAAGACTTGAACCATAAAAATTCAGTCCAGGTATTTTTGGACCCCTCTTACTGCAGATACTGCACAACTATGATCATATACTGCTAAAGTCTGATATAAGAATGCCTCGCATTCTAATTTTCAGGGCAGCGTGCAAGACAAGAAGCAGATCAAAGTGGCATGAACATTTCATTTAATCGAACGAAACAAACAATGAAAGTTTGTAGAAGAATGTTGGATTTTCATTGAACCGTAGAATAAAAGAACTTCTCTATTTGTGATGGAAGAAATTAATTGTAATTAACACTGTACATTATTGGATGATGGAGCTGAATGGTGAGTAATTCACTGAAAATCCTAGTTTTAATCTCCAATGCTATCTACGAAAGGAATGTTTTTGCATTTCAGATTCAACTTTTCTCACATTTTCGACAATAACTTGTATCTTTCCAGACAGTTCTTCTGTTTCCGCCTCAACATTGTGCATGAAGCTTAGTAATTTTTCTCGATAAGCTGCACATCGTTGATCCTGATGCTCCAACTCCAGTGTAAGTTCCTCAATTTTCCGATCCTTATCACCCTGCAATCATCAACAAGCAAATTAGTCAACTGCGGAAACTGAACTGAGTCAAAAGTATTGAGACCTATTAAAAATAGTAAACATAAACTCAAAAGATCGCTATCATAGAATTCTAAGGTTGATTCATGAACAAATTCGAAAGTCTTCCCCTGCTTACTTATTCCAAACTCACCCTTCCTTATTCTGCTTGAAATTTTTTTCGTCGGTGGTTCATTCAACAACTGGTGAGATATCGGGAAACATGCTTTCATGCATGTCATCAAAGAACCTTACCATGCCCTAAGACCCACCATGATGCTTCATGTAGGGACCATGACGAAATCATAGATAGCTCATTAAAGTTATTACTGGAGTAGATCTACCATGCATATCTATCTCTTGTTTCTTTACCCTTACACAACATAAGTTTGCCGAGTAAGTTCTAACGTGTGAAAGAAAACAAAGGGCAAAGAAATTTAACTATTGTAAACGATTTGGAAAGACGATAGGCAGAGTTAGTTTTGAAAGATCACTAAATGATTTATATGGGAGAGAAACAAGTGGGATATAATCAAGCAAAAAACAAGAAACAAGTGGGATAATCAAGCAAAAAACAACGACCTCGAAAAACATTTGAAAAGGGAGAATATTAATACTGAAGTTAAATAATATAAGGATGCTCACCTCTGTGCTAAAACCATTGGCAGTAACGACCAGAGGATGATTATGATCCTTTACAAATCTTGTAACAACCCATTTTCCAGATTTTTCCATCTTCACCAAGATTGTTGCCTTACAACCTTCTCGTGCACTAGGTCTAGGCTTTTTCTCAGGTCCAAATTTTCCCGGCTGGTTAGGAGAAAACCCTTGTTTGTTACACCCAAGCCGACGGGCAAGAGTTCTCCCATCAATTCCTGATCGACGACGCTGCATAACACGGACAACAAACCCGACCTGTCTGGCATAGTCAGTATAGAATTTCCTGGCAGCATCTTCGGAATCAAATTCCATACCCACATAAGGTTCCGGAACCAGACCTCCCAAAGTACCTACATCCATCTCCACAGCACTGTCTACTTCTGCCTCAGCTTCCTTTTCCAAATCTACTGTCATATAACATGTAACAGAATCCATAAACTTTTATTTCAGGCAGATTACTTGCGTAATTTGTCATGGAAAAAAAAATCTAATACACACTAAATAAATCCACCCACGCATTACTTTTACTAATCAAGCTATCAACATGCAGTTTCAAGCAAACCGCCCTGATCTTTGAACAACATCATGAAGTTTTAACTTTTTTAAAACTTGGATCATTTATCGCGCCGAATTTTTGTCATAGAAACCCGAAAAAATACTACTTAAACTCAAAACACAAATCCTTCATGAAATTGGACCAACAACCCAATATTTAACATCAAGAACAAAAATGCAGATAGATAAATAAAACCCAAAACAATCCAGATAAGCATAAGCTCTCACAGCCGCACACATCTACGGAATGCTCAGTTCAATGGTGGTATATAATTTTTTCAAGTGTACGAAATCACAAGAGATCTGAGATATAAGTTTCTCCCTTCCCCACTTTTTCTCACCAAGCAATGCTTTGCATGAGCTAATTTTCTCGAGAAAATTCAAAACATTTGCAAGGAAAGGCCAGTATTTACTGCCATTTAAAGAGACAAAGATATCGGATTGCACAGATTCGTTATAATCATTGAATAAAAAAATTAAAGGAAAAAATTGGAGTTGAAAGAGTGGCAGAGAGTGAAAAAAAAGTAAAGGAACTTACTTTAATAAAAATCGGGAAGTGGGTAATCGAAGAAGTTCGGAATGGAATTGGAAGCTGAGGATTTTGTTGGTGGGTTTCGTGGACTGATCCAAATGGAAGAAGATGGAGACCGCTCAGCAGCTGCAGACGAAGACGAAAGGGACTCAACGCTTCTAACTTCCAAACTCAAAAGCAACTCAGCAGTAAAATTATTTTATTTTCTTTTTACTTTTTTATTTAAATATACCTTTGGTGATATGGGCTCATGGTTTATGGGAGGATCTTGGATTTGGGTTGGGCTGGGCTTTACTCACATGTCAGAATATTTTACTTTATTTTGTATGTAACAATATCTTTTAAGGAAGGAGGTTGGTTTAAGGTTCGTAATGAAATCGTTTAATGATTCGATCCGGAGTTTGCTATTTGGAAGAGTCAAATACAAGACTTCTTGTTGATAGTGAAAAAAAATGTCATTAAATTGTAGTACTTGTGACTATAAGTTTTAAAATAAATTAAAAACTCGCACCAAAAAATATATGAGGAAAAAAAAGGTCAAATTCGGTTTAAAACCAAATTCCACCAAAATTACCAGTTATTTATTATTTGAATTAAGTTGAATATCATGATTAGTTTTCATATGTAATAAAAGGTTACCTAACGGATTAGTTAGTGATTATATATAGGTAACATAATGATTTTGCAATTTACGATATAATCTAAGGGTGCGCTTGTTGCACCGGACTATTTCAAACTAAATTAGTTTCAGGGACTAAGCTGGACTGGCACTAAAGTAAGTTAGACGAACTTAATGAAGCGTTTAGTACAGCATCGGACTAAAAAACTGATTAATAACAAATTTTAATATATATTATTTAATCTAATATATTTACAACCAATTCATTGATTAAATTTAATAAATAAAATGTCACATCCCGGCCCGGGCCCCCACCACATCCCCGGGCTCGACTCCGCCGTAGCACGATATTGTCGGCTTTAGGCCCCAACCACGCCCTCATGGTTTTGTTTCTGGGAACTCACACGATAACTTCTCAGTGGGTCGCCCATCATGGGATTGTTCTCTCGCGAACTCGCTTAACTTTGGAGTTCTGATGGAACCCGAAGCCAGTGAGCTCCCAAAAGGCCTCGTGATAGGTAGAGATGAGAATATACATCTAAGGCTTACAAGATCCACTTCCTTGGGCGATGTGGGATGTTACATAAAAAAAATCCGTTGTTAATATTTTTTATCAAATGAATTTATTTTTTGTTCAAATTCTAAGTAATTAATAATAAGAAGAATAACATGAATTTTACTTATTCAACAATAACAACAATAACAAAGCCTTTTTCCACTAAGTGGAGTTGGCTATATGAATCCTAGAATGTCATTGTGCTCGGTTCTGTGTCATATCTTCCGTTAGATCCAAGTACTCTAAGTCTTTTCTTAGAGTCTCTTCCAAAGTCTTATTAGGTCTTCCTCTACCCCTTCGGCCCTGGACCTTTATCTCGTAGTCACATCTTCTAATTGGAGTGTCAATAGGCCTTCATTACACATGTCCAAACCACCGTAACCGATTTTCTCTCATATTTCCTTCAATTTCGGCTACTTTTACTTTACCTCAGATATCCTCATTCTTAATCTTATATTTTCTTGTGTGCCCACACATCCAACGAATCATCCTCATTTCCGCTACATTCATTTTATATACGTGTTGATGTTTCACCGTCCAACATTTTTTGTCATACAGCATCGTCAACCTTATTGTCGTCCTATAAAATTTTCCCTTGAGTTTCAGTGGCATACGACAGTCACACAACACGACGGATGCACTCTTCCACTTCATCCATCTAGCTTGTATTCTATGGTTGAGGTCTCCATCTAATTCTCCGTTTTTTTGCAAGATAGATCTTACGACGGTCACACAACACGCCGGATGCAATCTTCCACTTCATCCATCCAGCTTGTTGGTACCATATATTTGGGCCTCGTATTTGGGCCTTGGGCTTCGTATTTGGGCCTCACACATTAAGCCCACGACAAATGTAAAAGAGGAGGAGCCCCTTATTCTATAAAAGGGGACTCCCCCTCATTCTAAAAAAGGTCTTAAGTCCTCATTTCTAGGGGCTAGAGCTGAAAACAAAGGCTAGAAGCCTTGAGAGAGTCCTCACACCACCGAGGCTCTCATCTCCCTTCTCTTCTCTCTCTGGGGGACTTCCCCTCAAACACTTGTATCCATACAATTACAGAGAAACAGAATCAACTACAGTGTGGACGTAGCCCAAACATTGGGGTGAACCACGATAAAATCCTTGTGTTCTTTGTGTTCTTCGTGTTCTTGAGCGTTTGTGCAGATTCACGGTCGGATTTACGTTGTTCCAAGACTGCCCCGGTTTTGTGCATCAACATTTGGCGCCGTCTGTGGGAATCGACACGAAAAGCTATGTCGGTTATCTTTCATTTTTTCATCTCACCACCGTGAAACCTCACCACAATCCCCACCTTGAATCTGCAAAAACTCAACAACCCAAAGCTTTCCCAGAAAAAAAAAACCCAGGAAACCAGAAAAGCCCATCTCTCTGGGTTGAAAAAATAAAAATAAAAAACGACAGAGACAAAAGCAGCTTGATTTGTATCAAACTATAGAAGGCTGTTGAGATGGCATCATCAAACAACTTCTATAGGATAGTACAGAGGGAGAGTGAAGTTTGTGCCTTCAAGGGACTCATTGATCGTCATGCCCCTCACAGCCAACAATGGATGCCCCACCGACACTCCCGATCTTCAACTCTCAAACGACCGTCGGCGCCCAGTCGCAGCCTCCCATCGCCACGCCGGTCTTCCACGCGTCCATCTCTCGTCATGGTTTCTCGCAGTGCCGCCTCTGGTACGAACTCGTGGACCGGAGCACCTTGGCCCGACCCGACTCCCTCATCGCCGCCTACTCCAGGAGCACCTTGGCTCGACCCGACTCCCGCATCGTCCTTCCCTCTCTTCCCTCTAGAAGCCCACCCCACCAGATCAGGTTACCCCCCGGTCAACTCCACCAACAGCTCTGCCATTTTCTACGTTTTCTACGAAGCTCATAACCTTCACCGTGAGAAAGATGAGAGAGAGGGATGACCTACTGCTACAGAACCCAGTTGTTGAAAGTCTAAAAAACCCACTTCCTGCTGGGTTGAGAGCTTCTTCAACCTTTGTGGGCATTAATGATCTTGGCCGCATAGAGCCATTACATGAAGATTCTCTCTTTGGGTTTTTTACAAATGGCAGCTGTAGACAAAGCCCATGTGGTTGTTGATGTAGTGGAGAGAGAAGCAGGACGCCGTAGCGCCTCTTGTGGAGAGGGAAGCATCTGCGTCGGAGAGTTCGGCGGAGGTAAATCTGGAGGAGGTGAAGATTAACGTGGCGAAAGTGGTGAGGGACTGCAAGATTTATCACCTGAGCTTGGATGCAACGAATCATGAATCTGGGATTCCTATTGAGCTAGGATGTTCTTATAAGGCTGATTTGGCTGCTGCCCACAAGCAGTGTGCTGCTGAGGCTTGGTTTAAGATCAAGGGTAACAATGCGTCTGCTTTCTAATTCACGACTTTGGTCAACACTCTCGGCAAAGACACTTGCCGGTCCAAGCTCTGGTCAACACTCCGGTCTTTGAGCATAAGCAGTCATGGTGGACAAACGGCTGCTGATCACCGACATACCAACGTGGCAAAGTCCTTGTTCCGTCTGATTTCAGAAAACAATCTTCCTGCAATACGCAGTGGAGGTACCAAGAAAAGCAAGTGGGTAGGGTCGAAGAGGCTGTCCAAAGAGTTGTGCCATTAATCATGTCGTCAACATTCATATCAAAAGCAGAAATGAAAAGGGAAAAGAGAAAAGCAGTGGGAAACAGAAACAAAAGCAAAAGGAAAAGCTGAAAAGGAAAAAAAGAAAAGCAAAAGATCTTCTTAGTATTATAATTCCTTATGTCTGCCAGATGAAGAGACACTGCAGCAGAAAAACACTGCAAAAGCAAGGAATAAACACCCCACCAGAATGATGTGTTTTACTTTCCTCATTTTTTTGAATGATGTAATTTTCCTTATCTTTCGGAAACATCTGTATAAACCTCATCAGAGGATAATATGTATAAACCCATCAGAGGGTAAAAAAAAAAAAAAAAAAAAAAAAAAAACAGAAAAGCCCATAATTAATGGGCTGGCATGTTGTGGAGGGCGGAGGCCCATAAACCCAAAAAAGCTCCAATCAAGTGATCAAAAGTACGCCCAGTACTTCCAAAATTATTCGGCAACCCGCCGCTATTATCACCAACCAGATGACTAAAAGTACGCCTAGTACTCCAAAAATATTCGGCAACCTGTCGCTATTACCACCAACCAGGTGATGAAAAGTACAACCCGTACTCTAATATCATTTGGTAACTAGCCATTCATGCCACCAACCAGGTGATGAAATGTACAACCCGTACTCTAATATCATTTGGCAACTAGCTATTCATACCACCAACCAGGTGATCAAAAGTACGCCCAGTACTTCAAATCATACATGAGCATTACTCATGTCATTCATACATAAACATTTATGAGCATCACTCATGACAATCATACATTAACATTCATGAGCATCACTTATGATAACATACATGAGCATCACTCATGTCAATCAACATAAACATTCATGAGCATCACTTATGTCAAACAGCTTCAAAAGATTCATTTACAGAGCTCTAACTTCAATGCTTCACTTGCAAAGCTTCACTTGCAAAGCTTCACCTACAAAGCTTCAGTGCAGGGTATACAAATACCGCTTCCGAACAACCGCCACTTCGGCCCATACATGGATTCAATTTGAAGTCTCCAGCCAACAGACTCTATTGACCGAAGACTTGAGGGACTACATTATGTACCATATATTGGGCCTCAATTGGGTCTCATGAAAAATACTTGGGGGACTTAGCCCATTACTTATGTATTGAGGAGCGAGCTCTTATTCTATAAAAGGGACTTCCTCACTTTCATTAGAGAGCACCCATTATTCATGTACTGAGGAACGAGCCCTTATTTTATAAAAGGGACTCCCTCACCACCATTAGAGGGCATCGCCGCCTACTGAGCAACCGACTCGCCGCGAGCATCAACTCTAGCCCATCATTTATGTATTGAGGAACGAGCCCTTATTCTATAAAAGGGAC